CAAAAATTGAACTTTGTCTGCTCTGTTCTTATCTTGAAAATAGCGTGATAATAATAATAAAAAATCCATATTCTACAGGGCCTTTTCCAAAGAAGCCATGTATTTCTCACGCTGAATTAATGAAAAAGATAAGAGTCACTGTAGCCTAAATATTTGAGGCCATAGTTCGAACTTATCCATTAATTTTGATATTTGGCATTGGGCCACATGATCTACAATGTGGAATGAGATGATGTGAAATGTTGATTTATTTTTTCTATCAGACTGATTTCTGACTTTTCAAACCAAGAAAACAGCTGACAAATTTAGGGTGCTTTCACACTTGCCCTGTTTGGTTCGGTTCAGTCGAACTCAAGTTCGTTTGTCCCCTAAGAGCAGTTAGTTTGGGCAGGTGTGAACACAGCAATCACACTCGGGTGTGCACCAAAACAACCAAGACCTTCTTGAAGAGGTGGTCTCAGTCTGGTTACAAACAAACTCTGGTGCGGTCCGTTTGTGGTGAGAATGTGTTCTGACCTCGATCTGAACCAACATTACACATTAGTTGGGTTAAACATGAGCATGTTACAGTCCTGGAGGATTATTAATGTGCACCTCCTCCTGTACTGCCTTAATATGCACATTCAGTACATCCAATGCATCAAAACATTGTTTTCTAGTTGGAGCTGCGCCTCGTTTTCAAACTGTATGGTTTGACTAAAATGAACAATGACAGCAATATAGTCCACGATGAGCAGCGCTAAAATCAACCTGCGTAGTTGTCCCTCCATTGTGACATTAGAAAGTGTCACATTTATCTTGCAAGTGAACTCTTCTTCAACGCTTTGTTTACTTCCTGGATTTTTCCCACGTGGAAATTCTGACCAATCAAGAGCAGCTTACTCACAAAAGGCATTTGATCTGGTCCACCTGTAAATGCTGCCGTGAGAACCCAACAAAATTAGTCCCTGATTCAGACCAAAGCAAGACAACTCTAGGTCTGAAAGCACCCTTAGATTATTGGGTGGTCTTTGCCTTTAATGTTGGTGAGACACAGGCTTGGATGCAGTATGGTAGTAACACATCTGCATACCTCATTGGCATACTGATTGTGTCTTTGGTGCTTGTATTGTGTGTGTGTGTGTGTGGGTGGGTCTGACTTGCTGGCAGTTTTGCTTTTTGTTGGTGACCCCTAACTACAAAAGTGCCCCATGAGCTAGATTGATTCATCATCATCTACAGACTGCAGATATGATGTTAAACATGCAAGAGACTGTAAGGATTGTAAGACTGCAGTTCACTGAGCATGTGCCTGCGATGTACTGGGTTCTCTTTATGCACTAACATTGTCACTGTTTAAATCACACTCTGAGTATCTAAGTATCTAACACATACTTATTCACATGTGCACTAAAAGACTGAATCAGTCAATTCGTTGGTGGAGTACTTCAAGCTTGTAATACTAAAATATTGAAACTATTATTCAAGTCAATTTTTTTTTCTCCGATTTTCAGTCAGTGAATTTATTTAAATCCTCAAACTTTGTTCTATACTCCTCATACTCTTCACACTGCATAATAGAATAGGAAGGCTTTAATATTACCATCAATATGAATTATGTGTTGCTACAGAACACTAACTATCCTCAAGACATTCTGAAGTTTCATGCTGAGATTTCAACATAGCAGAAAAATGTCCTTTCCTTTCTTAGTCTCGACTCGCTCAGATGAAAATGTCTAGTTGATCTTCCTTACATGGATTTGCAGATATTTACGACAGACAAGATGGGGTACAGTTGCATACATCGGCCTCAAAAAAACACTGTTCTCTTTATGCTTCCCACCATCCTTCTCTTTACCCCTCCTGCTCGCAAACCTGGCTTAGTCTGTTAATGATTTGGATGACTGTTAGAGAGTATAAAGCCTCTTGGCATTCTCTGCTAGAAGAGGGGATCTGTGCTTTGTTAGCCTAAAAGTTTGCACGAGGAAATTGCACCCATGGGAGAGCAAAACAGGCATACGCCACAGGGGGAGACGGAGGGAGGGCAGGATTTATTTATAACTTTTTGCGTTGATGCTAAGTCATCAGAGAGACCTTGTAGTGCAGAGCAGAGAAGTACCCTAAATGGTTTAGAAGTGAGCGAACAAACATTTCTACCTCTCTCAGATTCCGCATTTAGGGCCCGAGCAGGTTTACAGCAATTCTGTTCGTTTTTTTTAAACTCCCTCCAAATATCTGCTTGGTTCCTCACTGCTGCTTGGCAAATCACACTTAAGGGGAAAATCGGGAGGAGAGAGAACATGGTGATGGTGATGATGATAGCATGTGGTATCCCAGTGTTATTTTTGTACACACCGTCCTCCATTATCCCGGTGTATCTGACTCTCAGGCTCCATTTTGTGGCCCATTACTGAGGAAGAGGAAGATGGTCCTAGAGAGGAATTGTAGTGCTGCAGAATATGCTTCAGAGAATGACAGAGCAGAAGGAGGCAGGAACGGCTGGGCTAGTGGCCATCTCTGGTGTACAGTCAAAATTGTCATCGCTGTTGGCCTCTTGGTTGCACTTAATCTGTTACAAGAAATCTAATTCTGTGATTATGTCTGCGTATATATCTGTGTACGAGTGTGTTTACTCTCCTCTCCTTGCCTGCTATCTGAGAACGGCTTGGTGATCTACACTGCCTGCCAGCCTGGTGCTCTTTAATGAGATTATCAGGAGAAGAGTGTCAGTAAGTAGGATCTAAAATGAAAGCCATTATGGAGCATTATCACAGAGCCGCACCACCCCAGCCCCCCCTGATCCATCTGCTGTATGGCCACCCACACAGCCACTACGCCCAGATTACAGCCATGATTAGCACCGCGAAGTGCTGCTTAATTTAAACACCTCTGGAGAACATGTGGCACTTTGCTGCATTGCTGACTCACAGCGCTTGAACACACACACACACACACACACACAGAGGGCAGAGATTCATTTCTCCTTGTAGAAGACAACACAAGCAACGACTCCTCTCAAACACTCAAATTGTTTGGAAGGATGTTGGACGGTGGGGCTTGTGACACACGTGTCAACTATTCATTTCATATTTGAATCTCATCACGTGTTTCGACATTTAACACACCATGCACTGTTGTATCTACACTTAGGCAGCAGTCATGTAAGCTGTCTGCTTCATCACAGCTGCCTCTCAACAACTATTTCATTATTCTTACCAATCTAGCGTTATTTAACTAAACAGACAAAATGACAAAAAGACAGTGACAGGTGAACACAAACATGAAATAAATTAACATATAGATTACCACTCAAACAAAAATCCCAACAGTTGTGGGGAACTTTCCTGAAATAGTTTCAGAAGCTTCAGTCAATCTGAAAACTTATTTCCTCACTCTCTTTCAATCTTTCTTTCTGTGAATCTATGTCAATAATACAGTCTGTGTAAGCTTATCAATTTGTAAACCCTTATTTGTTTATTTATTTACTCTTTGTTCCTTTCCTTCTTTTCTAAATATAAAACCAGACTTCCAGCAGCTTTCGGTATTAATCCAGGGACTAAGTACACTTTAATATATGAAATTCCGGATTATTGATGGGGCTAATTGGGGGGGAGGGACAACTGGGACAAGACTCAATGTCGTGTTCCTTTACTATGTTTTAGAATCTGCCATTTTTTAGAAATCCTATGGCTCACAGGATTCCTGTGGGACTCCCATGGGATGGTAGTCAGTATCACAGTTTAATCACATGACTGGGACTGGACAGGGAAAAAGTAAATGGGAGTGGACAAGACAGAAATCATTATAATAATTTTGAACTAACAGTGTGAAGACAGCAGCTATTTATTTGTCTCCACAGAGCGAAGGAAGTATGAGCACACACATTGTTTTATGTTAAGCATGTTAAGTAAAATGTGTCATTTGTTAAATAATATTTTCGCAATGCTAATTTTTGTTAGCATGTTAATAGTGATTTCCATTATGTGTTAGCATCGAGCTAATGGACTGAGTGCTAGTAATTTGCACTATGGTTGTAGCAAATACAATCAGAATAAGGTTTATAACCAAGTAGGTAGGAATTTGCCTTGGCGTTTGGTGCATACAAACAACATACTATCAGCATATTAAGAGACAATAAAATTGCTGCAACAGTCAATACACCTGTAGTGGCATCCCTGCACTGGTTACCGGTCAAATTTAGGTCTGAGTTTAAGGTCCTACTGTTTGTTACTAAAGCCTTGCATGGCCTGGCACCCAAGTACAACCCAAACTCTCTCCGATCCTCAGACCAGTTGCTCCTGGCAGTCCCGCGATCCAGACTAAGGGGAAAGGGTGCTTGTGCATTTGCAGTAGCCGCCCCAAAGATTTGGAAAAGTTTACCCATTTCAATTAAGTGCTCCCACTATGGATGTGCTCTGCTAAACTGTTTATTCTGCACACTTAAATTCAATTCAATGAAATTATGTTCGAGAAAAACAAATAGAATTCCAACAATTATAAAATATGTGGTTGAGTATCATAATTTAAACTCAGGGTGATATAGTGAACAGGAAGTCCAGGCTTCAGATGCCAGGATCAGACCAGTTAAAACAGTCAGAATAGAAAGCAAGCACCTAAATCCCTTCCAGCTCTGGGGAGCTCAGGATAGAAGCACACCTTGTGCTTATCCCTTTCCTCTTTCCTTTGGAGGAATTGCCTGTGGGGACTACCAAATCTTCAAACAGTATACTACATTAATTTTTCCCTACTTCTACTGTACGTAGGAGTGCATCATATTGTGGTTGAAGCCTTTTAACTTCACTTCAGTGTGATTTTCACGTTGTTACTTAATTCAAATACAAGCTCCCGTATGGTCTGAGAAATCCTACAAACTCTGAGTGTCTGATATCTTTTCAAAACCTATTGGATACACCCCAAATGATGCGAAGGCTAAGCAGATTTCCTAGTTCATGAAAAGTTGATATTTGGGGAAACACAAGCAGCAGCATTCAAGTACATCATGAACAGTCTCCATTCTGTACCTGTGATCTTGTCGCGAACCAGCTTGCAGGACTCAATCTCGCCGATGCTACCAAACAGGCTGCGGAACTCCTCCTGGGTCATGTTTTGGGGCAGGTAGTTGACAATGAGGTTGGTCTTGCTGTCGTCATTTGTTGGGCCAGTCTGCATGGGCGAGGGGCAGCCGCGGCTGTTGGTGGTCGGCCCGTTGGCTGTGGTGCCTCCTCCGCTGGGGCCGTTTGTCACTGGAGCCTCCATGTTACTGATGATCTGGGGCAGGGCGAGGAGGAGGAGGAGAAAAGGGGGAGAGGAACCACAGAGCGAAAGTGCAGGGAGGAAGAAAGAGAGAGGTAGCATTCATTAGCAAAGGCTTTGGTACTGTATTTAGCTTTTTGGAGCACTGAATATGTAGCAAGGCATGCTCTGAGAGACTCTGACAAAGTGCTTATTTTCAAAGTTAATTTTCTAAAAAGCATGACTTCCGCTGCATTAAGTCAAATCAACAGCCTGGGTGAAAAGGGCTTTTAAAAGCCAATTTCCAGGCATTTGAGAGGTTTTAAACAAGCCTTGTACATACAGTATATCACTGTTTTGGAACTGCCATACAATTATGTCCTACCATTCTACCGTACAGGAATTCACGTTACAGTGGAGGACTAGAACAGTGAAATTTCATGATGTCACTAAATGCATTTTTATATAATTTGGGTAACATGAAAATATATATTATGAGCAGAGATACACTGATTTATCAGCCGAACATTGGTACTGGCCAATATTTTCCTTGTTGACTACCATCTCCAATCGGCAATGATATGACATGTATCAATGGCAGTCGCCACTAAATGTTGTGATGGTTATTCGCGGTCGGACTCTGACAACAGCCAGCGTACCCAGCTGCTGCTTCACAGAAGAAGCCACTGGGTAGACCCGACCTTAGCATGACGCAACAGGTGCACACGTGTGGTTTGTTTTCGCATTTGCTTTCAATATTCTCTTTGTTGACTGCCATTCTCAATTGGCAAAACAATGACATACATCAATGACAGTAGCAGTGAGTATCTGTTGTGTTGCATCAATTTTGCATCTGCTAAATGTTGTGATGGTCATTTGTGGATAGACTTAGACAACAGCTGGCGTAAGAAGCCATTGGGTGGACCTAACTTTAGCATGATGCAAGAGGGCAACAGCTGCATACATGTGGTTTGTTTTCACATTTGTTTTCAATATTCTCTTTGTTGTCTGCCATCTCCAATTGGCAATACAGTGACATGCACCGATGGCAGTGGCCGATGTTTATCTGTTGTGTTGCATCAATTTTGCACTGGCTAAAAGTTGTGATGGTTATTTGTGCTGGGACATGGACAACAGCTAGCAATTCTAAAGCTGGGTCCATCCAGTGGGTCCATCCAATGGCTTCTGCACCTAACTTTAGCAAGACGTAAGAGGGCAACAAAAGCACACGTGGTTTGTTTTCGCATTTGCTTTCAATATTCTCCTTGCTGACTGCCATCTCAAATTGGCAATAAGATCACATGCATCAGTGGCAGTGGCCGATGTTGATCTGTTGTGTTGAATCAATTTTGCACTGGCTAAATGTTATGAGGGTTATTTGCGGTTGGGCAAGGACAACCGTTAACATACCCAGCTGCTAATTCGGAGAAGAAGCCACTGGCTACACTTAAATTTAGCATGACGCAAGAGGGCATCAGGTGCACACGTGTGGTTTGTTTTCACATTAGCTTTCAGTGAGCAGCTGTTAAGCTCTGCGTCTGTCCTGATGAAGGTCCATGCTTGACCGAAACGTTGACGAATAAATAAAGCAGAGTAAAAGTGAGTGCAGGAGTCATCTTTTCTTTAAAAGCTCTGCGTCTCACATCTTGGAAGAGAGGAGAAATAGACTGAGCTGCAACGAGGCAGATATGCTTATCTTTGTAAAGAAAAACACGCATCTTACTGAAAAGCAGCTTTGAGGTACTAGTGATTTATTTTCTTTCTATCATTAATATTTGGAAGACGAGACCCACTGTACAAAACATCTGTATCAGTATCGACTATTGGCCAAGTTGTTATTTTAAACGTCAGTATCAGCCCAGAATTTTGCAATCGGTGTGTCATTAAGTACGAGATGGCAGAAATTTGTCAACCGTCAGAGATTTTGCCAGATTTGAATTGTTGTTGGCTGCAAATCAGTGAGCAGGACTGCTATACAGTAAAATTGGATTTACAGGATTTTACATCAATGTGATGAAGTACCTTGATTTTTCAGGTATTTCATTAATAACTTTTTTTGTATTTTATGGCAGAGTAAATACTTAAACTGAATCTATTCAATTTGTAAAATGTGTTCAGGTTTATATTTGTGAGCAGTCATGCTGTCACCAAATGCTCAAATCGGTGAGAAACAAATTGCCTCTCATATCATGATGTCTGTATCACAACACATCAGCACTGAATCAAAACATTGCTAAACCCTTATATGGAATCACAAACTAAACATAAGGTGAACACACTGTACACAAACCATGCAACATCTCTGAACATTGAGAGATACAGCAAACACTAGACACAGAGAGCATAAACAGCTAAATATTCCTGACGACAGTAAGAGACGTCTCTAAATGTTTCTCTGATAGCTGCTGAAGTTTGTGGGAGGGGGCAACAACAGGGGCAGCCCTTCAGCGAGCTATTTGACTGCTGATGCTGCTGCTGTGACAGAGGGAAGTTTGCCTTTTCTTATCTGGTTTTGCAGAGCATCTCAGGATCAAAGTGTTCAGAAAGGAACTGTGAGCTTGGTGTTAAGTGTGAGAAAACAGGGAAGAAAAAAAAGGTGAGAAGGACTGAGAGTCAAAAGTCGGAGGAGGACGTTGCACTTTGCTTTTCCACCAGAGCACTCTGATACATATTTAATAGAAATGCTTATTCTGAGCGAACATTATTCTCCAACAAAAGCAACGTGTGAAGTGAAATTATTCATACATTTGCATAAAAAACATTTGTTTGATCAGATTAATGGCTTTTGTTGCATATATGTGCGAGCGTGTGTGTGAGGGGAGTGTCAGTGCATCGCAAATGGAAAGAGTGGAGACGACTAAATCTCTAAATCTAATCACTAAATGGTGGGAAGATAAAACAGGGAAAAGAAGATGGATGCATTGTTAAAACAGAGCATCATTCTGTCTTGGCTCACGCTTGACCAGAAGCTGGCTGTTGACAGACTGTTTGTTAACCTGGTTTATTATCGTTTGAATGTCCTGCAGTGTCCCTGTGCACTGATCCTGTTTTACATGTACACACACCCCTAGAAAAAGGCCTGCTGCCCATGAGAGCACAAACTCAAAGTTTCCATCATATTGCTGCAAAAGCACTGAAATGACCTAACATGCTGAAACCCAAATTAAGATGCAAATATTCTTTAATCTGATTCAATCAAATTTTTAAAGTCATCACTCAGATCTCTCCCCTTCCCCTGTTCAACCATTCAGCTCTCGGTCTATTTTTAACCGTTCCTAAGTACACGCAGACAGGCTGCACTTGGAAGCAGGGGCTGGTTTTAGCAAAGGAGAAATGGCTCACGAGTCCTATTTCGCTCTATTTCTGGATTATCAAAAGACTGGACCTGTGTTCTAATAATATAGCTCAAAGCAGAATTTAAAAATTTCCCAGTTTGTCCAGAAATAGTTCTCAAAACCATTTTAGACGTTTACAATGCGTGTGCTTCTCGGCTTTAATCACTTTACTTTTATCTATCTACCTGTGTGTAGTGGTGAGCAGGGATGATGATAAATGATCAGCAGGCAAACAAATAACTCTGTAGTTACCAAAAAATACCACAAATATATTCATACTAACAATATAAGATATAAAGGATGTGGTGGTGGAAGTCTTTACCTACAGAAATTAAATTGTATCCTGATTTTAAATCACTTTAAACTCAAACTGAGATAGTTTTTGAAGAGGAATCAGTTATGCAGTCATGACTAAGTTGGTGCTTCCTATTCTATGGTGCTAATTATGTATTGCAGTTTATTTCTACTGTTTGTACATTGCACTGTTACTTGTAATCTTGTATCTTAAGGCTGAGCTAGGGACAGGCATTGCAAATTAGCTGAGGCTATAAATGCTGTGGTGTGTGGCATATATGTATGCTACATACTTGTCCCTATACAAGTAAACACTGAATAAAAAATCAAATAATTATGTCACCACCATCACATTAGATGACCAAAAGATGACAAAGAAAAGGTCTGCAATTCATTTTAAAGAGGAGATCAGAAAAGCTACGAAAGCCTGTGCTCTTTATCCAAGTGCAGTACTTAAAACTGGGAATATCTCCACCTCTAAATACCTATAACTATCTCATGGGATGGCGTACGGGGGCTCGAAGCATCCATCTTTCTCTGGCTTAAGGAAGACCTTTTAAAAAAAGGCTGTATTTCTTATTATCTAGTGTTCTTCTTTTCCTCCATCTAAGTGTGTAGGAGCAGCAGCAACAAAATGTCAGTCTTTAATCTGCTTCCATCCTCTCATTTTAGACACACACACTCACACGCGTGCACGCACACACTTCCATGCATTCACACATTCGCGCATAGGCAGCGAGGGGAAGAGCGCATACTCAAACACACACACTTGCATACAGAGAGAGAGAGAGAACAATGGCCCAAGCCCACAGCAGAAAACAAACAGACAGGGAGATGTCTAAAAGCTCTCAAGATGAGAGCTGCATGCAAATTGTTCTTTTGACAGTATCCTTTCCTACTCACTCACCACTCTACCACAACAGAGATACAGAGACAGACCGAGAAAGACAGGGGGTAGAGAGAGAGAAGGAGAGAGAGGGGGGAGAGCGGAGACAGAGGAGAGAATAGTATCTAGCCATAACAGAGTTGATTGGAGAGGGCCTTATTAAATCTGTTTACATTCCCTGCTGGGCTCCATTCTGTCAGAGAGACTTTCAACTCCATGGGACGTTTTCTGAGGAGTTTTTCCACCAAAATGGCTGCCTCTAATTAACAGGGACCTGCCGAGTCCCAGTGGCCAATTATATTCCTCTCCTTGTCCCTGCCCACCAGCATTTGTGCTGCTCAGCAGTCCACTTTATGTTGGTTGTGAACACTCTGGCTGCCCCTGCTCTCCCACTGAGGAGCCTAGTGCTGTGGACAGAACTCACTGCGCATCCTGCTGACTTAGTACAACACACAGCCGTCTCAAGATCCCAGCCTCGAGACGCAGCCTCTCATACTCGCAAGTTGTAATTCTGTTCATGTAGGATGCAGAGCCAGCAACTGGGCTTCTTAGTAACACATGTAGACGGTGTGCAGTTGTTGGAAACATATGATCCAAATGTGCAGCGATGCTGTTAGATCGAATTTAGAATAAATGTAAGTTAAATGATATCTGATGGTCATTCTTAAAACTGGCATCTTAAGAATGAAAAACTGGTTTGGCTCAAACACTGCTGAAACTACAGCTGCTTTAAAGCAAAGTGCAAGGGAGGGGCAGATTAATTAAGGATTTTTGATGAATGCTAGAGTGCTCCGAACAGGAAACAGAGGGCGAAAAAAGACAAATTACACTAGTGAGGACTTGAGTAAGTCTTTAAGTGTTTGCAAGGAAATAGAGGTCCATCAGAAATGCCCATGGGTGCAGCTTTGCATGTGTTAATGAAAGCTAAACAGCACATCTGATTTGTAACGGATGTGGCATAAATACAAAAACATCAATATGTACATATAAATTGAAAAATAAATGTGCAACATTATTTACTGGCTTCCTCGAACATAAACAATGGATGAAAACGTCAGCAGCTGAATATTGCTTTTCACTCATCTCTGCACAACTCCCTCTATCCTTGCAACCCCCCAGGTCCTCCCTCCGTCAATCTCTGCTCCCGTTCCAACTGTCTCAGTCAGCAGCATCACCAACCAGTGCGTATTTATGTGAACACAGTACAATATCAGATCATATTACTTCATGGGTGTGTAAAATGGCTGGGCCATCCATTTGGCAGCAGTAGTCTCCTTACCATCTTTGGCTGTGTCAGCAATCCCTTCTCTGCCCAGCCCTGGAGCTGTGGGAGCTCTGCCTGACGCCACTGTGTCTCTGTCGACCCCTATGGAGCGGAGCACAGGGAGGGAGGGACGCACAGCCCACCGTCAACATCATACACTCACTGTACAAGGTTAGGGTTGCAGTGGGATTTGGGGAGTGGGAGGAAGGGGGTTGGGGTGATGGGGGGGAAAATGGCGGCTCACTTGGAAAATACAGTGACACCTTTAGAGTCCTTCCACCAGTCGAGCTAAAACAAAGACGGGTGGCTCAGGGTTTTTGTGTTTGGTTGGTATGAGTGATTGAGATGAGTGGTTTGCCTTTGGGGAATAATAAATATGGGTGGTGGTTAAGATTTGGAAAACTGCATGACTCAAATTGTTGAAATACTTTTAGAAATGTTGCATTGCCATTTTTTCCTTCCTGATTCCAATTCTGATACCTGAACTTGTGCATAGGCTGCTATCAAACGCAGATCCAATACCATTGGGTAAAAAAATTAAATACATTTAAAAAATAAATTAATAGAAAATATAAAAATTGGCTGATACCAAGTACCGTTCTGATACCATTGCGTAACAAAAAAATAAAAATAAAAAAATAAAAATGCCTGATACCAAGTAATGATCTAATACCATTGCGTAAAAAACAACAAACCCCCCCCACAATAATAGAAAATATAAAAATCGGATGATACCAAGTACCGATCTGATACCATTGCATTAAAAAAAAAAAAAAAAAAAAATAGAAAATATAAAAATTGGCTGATACCAAGTACCGCTCTGATACCGTAGCGTAAAAAAATAAATAAATAAATAAATAACAGAAAATATAAAAAATGTCTGATACCAAGAACCGCTCTGATACCGTAGCGTAAAAAAAGAAAGAAAGAAAGAAATAACAGAAAATATAAAAAATGCCTGATATCAAGTACCGATCTGATACCATTGCGTTAAAAAATAAAGAAATTAATTAATTAATTAATTAATTAATTAATAGAAAATATAAAAATTGGCTGGCCAAATACTGATCTGATACCATTGCATAAAAAAAGTAAAGAAAAAATTTCATAGCTGTATACTACTGACCCTGTATGGATAAGAAATGATTGCTATCTGTTGTGGCATGGTTCAGGTTAAACTCTAAAACATACAGATTATGAATGCCATAGAACATTATTTTATCCAATTTAAAATATTGCCAAATTCCTGACATTTTGGTAATGGCTAACATTATGCTATTTACTGGAAATTCTTTGTTGTTGCTCTGAAAACAGCAGTTGCCTGTGGCTACACAGGGCAACCTGCTGTGTAGGCTAGTGTTTTAGAGCAGGGAAGGAAATTGGTTTCCGGGGAAACTGCTGTTTCATCCGAGTGTGAAACTACTTTACAGTATATTAATAAAGTATGTGGTATTGGATCGGCGTATAGACTTGCAATTTGCCGATACACAATCTAGAATTTTAGGCAGTATCAGAGGTATTTGCTATACTGTTAATGATATCAGAACAACTCAAATGGAATTGCTAAGACAGAAATAGGGTTAAAGATATTATTTCTACAGTCTTTAATAATTTGAAGACCTTCATAATGGTTTGAATAAAATTGCATGTGTGTGTTGAAGCTGGCAGATTGGTATGGCGACTGCAATGACCTTGGCAGAGTTTATAATGAGGGTTTCCCTCTTGCTCTCTGTGGGTAAACAAGCCTGTGGTTGAAGAGACAGAAATGCCACAAATGAGCAGGAAGTCTGTTCACTAGCTCTCCAGAGCAGGGGGCTTAAATGCCTGCAGCTATCTACGGATGCTACAAGCAGCCAATTTAGCAGGAGAGGAGGAAGAGAGGAGGGATGACCTCTGCCTTCATTTACTCCTTCAGAGAGATGAAGAGAGGGAGTGAGGGATCAGATGGGAGGGGGGAAGAAAAGGCAAGGGCTGAGTAATGGGGAAGACACTTCCAATACTTCAAAGAAAGAGAGAGACGGAGGTGGGGTGGGGGGGTGGGGGAGGGAGAGAGTCTGTACATGTTCTGTTGTCAATGTGTCTTGTAAACTTGAGCAGGAATGCATAATGGAGGTCTAAATGAGAGTGAACTGTCAGCTTGAAAGGGAAAAAGAAGATACAGAGGGGCAGGGAGGTCAGGGTAGAAAAGAGGACAGCGAATATTATTTCTTCTAGCTGACAGGTAATGGTGAATATTGGGATATTCTGAGGATTATCATATAGAAAAATCAAGCTGAGCCACCTTTGTTTTAGTCTGGTGAGGGCCAAAGGCTTACTGTTGAAAAAAAAATCTATTTTCTAAATCTGACTGGGACAAATTAGGTTCTTTTGTTTTAAATTTCAAATCTAAAATAAAATTAACATTGTCAAGCTTTTAGCTGCATTAGGTCAACCTCATGCAGGTGTGCAAAAGCCAGCGAGGTGTATTTATAACCACTTTAAAGAGCCAAGAGTGGACAGCGCCAGGGATAGCTACACCCCTGGGGCTAAGTTGCCCACGCTAGGTACAGTTTGCAGCCACCACATACAGTATAGTGGCTCAACATTCACCCCATCAATGGGGCAGTGGACAACACACTGTATAGCCTGCCTTTTAAATGCAAAGTTGAAAAAGCTGCCCTGAAAAAAGAAAATGTTAGGCAGAGGTGAAACATCAAGAGCATTTTTTTTTCACCCATTCTGCAAAGCCGTCATTTCATGTCGCAGTGGAAGGGAATGGTGTGCCGCAGCAAGCAGACAGTGCAGTGTAATCGTAGCATGTACAAATGTGGTGATAAAAATGTAAGAAGCAGCAAGCAGATGTATATGAGTCTCCATTTCAGCAGCCAACGTATATTGCCAGAGAGCATAATGTCGGGGAAGAAAAGGAATATTACATTTCTCAGAAGTGCGTTTAAGTCTCTGCAGTTCAGTTCTCAATATTCAATGCTCAACCATTCGATAAAACAAACAGTCTCAGGCGTAACACACACGCGCCACACACACACACACAATTTCATCTTTCTTCATATTCTAGCTGTCCTCGCGTTTATCACATGAACACACACATGTGCGTCTCCTGATAAAATCTCAAATAACACAGGAATAAGGGTGCGATGCAATTACATTCACCAACCATTGAGATGAAAAACCGCTCATGGATACATTTTCAATTATTCAGGGAATACATTTCAGTCGGTGCTCAGATGCTGGGAAAACTTATTATATAATCAATACACTCTATAATGCCATTAATATTTGATGCCACAAAAGTACTTCCTGTCTCCTTGGGCTCCCGGCCAATGGTGTCTGGGTGCTGCAGTCAAATAGGACGAGCCTTACCCGCCTACAGAAAGGAAGGGGAGTAAACATTTGTTTTCCTCTAACAGTCGAAAAATACCAAAGGCACAGGCAGCTTTCTTTTAGATTCACTGTATATTAAGTCTTTCTTTCATAATATGCACAAAGATGTCTCTCCTTCTTTAGAGACCTATGTCGCAAACTAAAATCTTAATAACCAAGGAGTTTGTGTATTCCTCTCCTGTCCTTTTCACCTTCGTCACTCCTTTGCTGCTTCCACACCATAAAACCACCACTTTATATAGCTGGCCTGGTGCAGGCTTCCCTCCCCCTTCTCTTACAGAGCTTAGACAATCAATTTACCCTGACTTGGCCAGGATAGATGGAGGCTGTAGAGACTGCGGAGTAGACAGTATGCTGCAGGATCTCTCCTCTGATAGACACACTGCCTGGCAGCTACAAAATGGAGCCAGCATGCAACCATCTGACTTGTTAGACTTTGCCTCACCATCTTGCTTCGGATATTATTAGTGATTTCCTTTTGCCTTATGCCTCTTATCTTTATTTTTAACATTATTTGGCTTGTTCGAATGAGAAAACATCACTGTATTCTGATTTATTGTCAGATGTGGATACTTTAAAACAAATTAATACATCCAAATATACGGACAGTTTGTGCCATGTGTGCTGCCAGAAAGCAGCCACACCTGATGCTGCTTAACTCAGAGTCAAACTCCCCTGTCTTTTCACCAAAGTGATACTGAATCGGAGTTACTGATACTGAATTGGAGTTCCTATCAAACTGACTGAAACACAAAGAGATTAATACGACTTTACTATCTCAGCTTCTCGGCCAGTCAAGTTCTCTGTAATGCTCTCTGCGCTATTGATTTTTATTTTTCTCTCTCTGCCTTTCTTCCTGGGCGTCTTTTTCCCTCTCTCTGTCTCTCCCTCACACCGTCTCCACCTCCACCAGCATCTTCCGAGCTCTGAAATGTCCTGCAGGTCAGACGGATGCTGGGCTGGATCAATCAGGGAAAAGTAATCTGGGACGCCTCATGCACGCAAGCACACACACAGACACATCACAGATACTCAACGACACACACCCCTCCTCTGTTGCACTCTGGCCTGCCTGCCTCCAGTCTTATCGATCTGCATCTACTTTACCAAATGGATTCCTCTCTTCTTCTATCCTCCTCCACCTCTTTTCTCTCTGTGTGACTTGGAATAATAAATGTTCCAGACTGCGCAAGACGTGTACGTAAGCAATTTTTCATTTAACTTTGGCTTGACTCCCCCCCCCCCCTTCTCTTCTTTCTCTTTTGTGATGTTTCAGTCTTCCAGTGGAATCGATGCAGCTTTCCCACACACTCCCTCCCAGCCCCTGGGTAATCGGCACATACTCGCGTAGGTCAGAGTTCAGGAGATGACAGGATACAGTCAATTGCCGAGGGGTATGTCAGACAGGATCTATATAATAACCTCAAGGTTTATATTTTACAGACAATTATAGGATAAGTCTGTGGGCAAAGATTCTTATTTTCAGATGTTGAATATCAGGATGTATTGCTCAGTTTCACTTATTTCTGAAGGCTACACTGTCTGGCACAACAAAGGTGTTCATAACCAGAGTGATGCAACCTTTTCTACTCTATTCACATTTACTTGGCTTAATTATCTTTATCTAAAAACTTTTTCTCAAAAACTATTTCATGCTGCATTGTGGGCAGTCAAAAGACAGACCATACTTCAAGGACAATGACTGAGGACCTGCAGTGCTC